GTAAGAATCCATCCTGTCCACGGCTTCTGAAAAAAAAAGGAGCTGTCTCACTTTGTACAAAATGGGCATTCTTTACCATTAATCTGTTCAGTAGCACCTAAAATAGCAATGTACAACTAAGGTTAAGATGTCATGGTGTTTGTTAAGCATTTAAGACTTTTGAGAGATATTCCTTGTTCAGCTTAAATAAGCTGTAACTAGAATGAGGAGCATTCTAACTGCTAATATACAGTGCTGTATGATTCAGTTTGCTGTTTGCTTGGCCTGGGTAGCTGGATTTGATGAAACCTTCAACCTCAGAGTTCACAGCAAGCTGCGAACTTAACACCTTGAGATGTTTTCTGGAATGGAGTTTATTTCCTTGGTAATCCTCCTAGCAGTGATACAGAGCTGTGTTTTGTCTTTAGTACATTTGGAACACTGATAACACACTGATGTTTTAGTTGTTGCTCAGAGCTGATTACCTTGAGCCAAGGGCTTTTTTAGTTATATTTGCCCTGCCAGTGAGCACCAGAAGCTCAGACCAGATCAGGTCTGACCACCAGCAACAGCTGCAGCTCCACAGAGGTTAAACAGCCTGACTGCATGGACATGGACATGGACATGGATGTGGACACGATAGGAGACTCCACAGATCTGGAAGACCCCAAACCAAAGAGGAGCAGAGGCAAGGATGATGAGCCTGAGGGGCTGGTGCGTAAGTTGTGTAATTGCCTGGGGATTTCTTTGCTCAGGGTCCCTCTCCAGAGGCACCCACCTGCAGCTGATCTGCTGCTCTGCAAATCTATTTAATTATTTATTTTTATGATCTGATGCCTCTCTGCTGTGGGGAAACCTGCCATCTTCAGTATAGCTCTTTGTGCAGTGGTGTATATTATGTGGGTTTTTTTCTGCTTTTAATCATGTTTTTATCTACTTGCCCTCCCTTCCCTTCTTCCTGACTGGTCTGGCAGAAAATGTCATTTTGGTTTCTACTGTCTTAGTTAAAGGAACCTGCCCATGAAAGGGTTCTGGTGAAAAGGAGGGAATATGACTGTGCAGTCACAATTAGGTGGGAAAAGAGTAGTAAGGGACAAAACTCATCCTTGTTAGTGGCAGCCACCTATTGGAGAGGCAGGGCTGTCTCTGCTAACCTGACCTTCAAAATCCTTCTGGATTTCTTCACTGAACTGCACATTTCCTTGTGTACAAATGATGTGCTTTTAGAAATGAGTCCACCATTTCAAAATGTTTCTCAGGTGTTGGTACAGTTAGATGATTTAATAATTTTCTGCACACTGTGTGTGCCTGGAAAATAATGTATTTTCTGTTGGAGAAATTTTAGCACAGAAGTTTTTACAGAATTGGCTTTTAAAATCATCATTGCAGTATCTGTTGATTAGTGAAAGAATGACATTTCCAATCAGTGTCTAATTAGGTATCCATCTGTGTCTGCAAGTGTCACAACTTACTCTTCAGTGCTGCGTTCTCGTTGCAGTAAAAAAAATGGTCTCTCTCTAGCACCACCTTGAGACTACCTTTTCTAGTAATGCTGCTGGAAAAGTAAGTGGCAAGAAGGGAATGGGAGTTTTTAAATATAGTCTCTTCTTGCTGATCTGTACATTTCTCAAGTAGAACTAAATAAGTACATTTTTTTTTCCCTCTTTGGGATGAGGCTTTCCTTGGCACCGATATTTTCCCCTGAACTGTCTGTGTTCCTCCCTGCAGCAAAGTCTGTTTGAGTCATGCTGGATTTTCTTTTTCCAGTGAAAGAAAGACAAAGTTCTGATTTATATACATACTAATACAGGAATTGGTGATGTCTAAATAACCAGTTCAAGGGGCCTGGAGAGTACAGGCCTCACCAGCGAAGGTATTTTTTCCATGGACACGGAAACACAAGCCAGTGTTGTTGCCCTGTGCTGCAAACTCACTGAAAATATAATTCACTGATTTCTGTGTGATGGATTAAACCAGTGTGGCTGGAGTAGTTAAAGTAAGATCCGACTTAATAATTTAAAAAATCCTATAAAATCATTGTAATTAGGCTGTTAACAAGGTGGCAACGTGTGGGTGAAATGTTTGGCTTGTTTTTTTTCTGGCTCTTAGGGTGGAGACATGGAAAGGCAGGTACAGGTGTTGTACTCCCCCTTTGGGAGCTGCAAGGTGAATGATGTTCCTGAGTAGGACAATGGTGTAAAAAAGCCTGTAGTTCACTTTGGCTGCCCTTTAGCTTCCTGTCAAGCTCCCTTTGTTGTGCTCCCCGGGCTAAAAGGCTGAATAGGGCAGAAGCTGTTCTGCAGTTATTAGTGTGATTATTTAAATATATTTTCATTTGGCCAGGCTAATGCGCTTCTGGTTTCTCTCTGAGCAGCCTTTTCTTCTCCCTCTCTGTACATTTCAGAACTCTTAGAGAAGGTATTTTTCATTTCAAACTGCATGACCAGAGCAAAGCTGGGATTTGCACTACCGGGTGCAATACAAATCCCACTGCACAGAAGTCTTGGCCAGTCGTTCAGTTGTCACCTGTGTTGTAGGAGAATTATTGGATAATGTAGATTTCTGAATGGATTATGGTAGAAATCCTGATTTTGTTACAGTATTGAGATGCATTTATGCCTCAGAACGTGTGTATTCATCATTTGGGTTTGCTGATGCTTTTCTGTGGCCTTGGAAAGAAGTTGTTCCTACGTGATATTTACTGCTTATATTAAGTTGCTATCTCCAGAAATTCTTCTTTCAAGTTGCTTTTGTGAGAGTTTTACTCAGTGCAAGTATTCACAAATATATTTCTTCATATGTATGTTCCTGTATTTTGCAGTGTGCATTTTATTCTGCTTTTTGGAAGGAAAAAGCTGCGTTTACTGCTTGGGGTTTTGGGCTTTTCTTCCCCTTATATTTAGCAGACCTAGTCTTGTCATCTCCATCTTTCTTCCCTGTGTTGTCTGATATAAACCAACCCCTCTTTCCTTAACTGGTGTTCCTGTCCTTTGAGTATTTTCATGGTTCCCTTGCACCACACAGCATTCTGTTCATTAGCCTGGAGGAAGCACGAACTCTATTTTAGTATTCTTTAAAAATGGGGTTTCAAAGTGGGTTAGGGCGGGCAGGACAAAGCTGAGCTTGGCAAAGCACCTTTTAGAAGCAGGGAGGTACCTTTATATCGTACTGGAGATTGCCTACATATAATTACATATGGACAATAACAGGCATCCTGGGATGGATCAGGACACTGAAGAAGGATTGTCAAGGTGCAGAAAAAATATACCTCCAAAACATCCAAGTTTCCTCAGGATGCTCAATTACTGATTGCCCTTCTCTGCAGAAGTGCTTTTTTTTTTTTTTTTTTTTTTTAGATTAAATCTTACTGCCGTTTTTTCTTGTTCACACTTTGTTTTCTGAAGTGCCATAAATTTATTGTTTGCTATACCTTTGAACCTATAAAGGGTTTGTTCCATACCACTGATCTGCAAGCGAATGTGGTAGTTGAAAGCTCTTTATTGTGTGTTGAATTCCAAGTGAAAATTTAGGTGAAAGTGTGAATAATGAAGGTAGAATGATAACTATTGATCTCTCAAACAAAATTTCCTTGAGGCTGCTTCAGGTATTTTTTTTTGGTAGATAACATTCAAGTTATCAATCAGATAAGCAGCTTGGGCTTTGTATTTGCACTGAAGCAATGCCATTTATTAAACTATAACTTGTAGAAAAATGCAGGATACCGGTGTGGGTGGATAATGTTTCTTGCCTGCCGTCCCTACTACTTGATGCTGCATTCCTGACGGATCTGAGAGCAACTAGGTCAGCCTTCAGGTTCTCATATAACCAGGACTTGTTTGGGAGACGCTCAAGGAGCTCTCAGGTGGTGTGTTAGATACTCCTAAGACATCTTTAGGAGGCTCACCAAGGTGGTGGTTCTTGCCTGAGAGCAAATCTGTGTTCCATGTAGCTAATGCCTCCAAAGACAGGTGCCTATAGCCTTGTCTCTGATGATTTAGTAGCACTTCATGCCAGTTCTTTTTTAAATAAGTCTTTGGGTACTTAAAGGTCAACTGGCAGAGCAGTTCCACTGGAAAAGGAGGGTGTCTGAAGTCTTGCTCTGTGATGTTCAGCAGCTTCTTCAGTTTCTATGCAATGAAACTTCACCCATGTCACGCTGGTACAGTTCGAAAAATCACCAGAAAAGCTTTGTAGTTTTATGAGGTCGAGGTCCTGTTCAGCTGAAAGTAGATTTCCCATAGATATGGAAACTGAACTATATGCTGGTCTGTCTAGGGGGATGCTGCCAAGTCTGGGAATTTTCAAGCTGGTGTTGTTAGAAGGACTAAAATTCTCTGTTAAAATATGTTTAAATGTCTAGGTGAAGAAGTTCAACATATGTTGGTTATAACATACTGATTGCATTTTATAATGTAGGAGTTCAGAAATATTTTTATTATTTTCTGATCTGTTTTGATTATTCCAGTGAAGTGAACCATGTTTAATGTGTCTCCAGTACCATCTTTCATGGGTGTGTAAAAACAAAGGAAGAATTTGGTGCCAGGCTGGGAGAGCTGGGGGTGGTCAGGCTGGAGAAGACTCCAGGGAGACCTCAAAGTCCCTTCCAGTGCCTCGAGGGGCTCCAAGAGAGCTGGAGAGGAACTTGGGACAAGGGATGGAGGGACAGGACACAGGGAATGGCTTCCCACTGCCAGAGGGCAGGCTGAGACGGGATACTGGGAAGGAATTGTTTGCTGTGAGGGTGGGCAGGCCCTGGCACAGGTTGCCCAGAGAAGCTGTGGCTGTCCCTGGATCCCTGGAAGTGTTCAAGGCCAGGATGGACGGGGTTTGGAGCAACCTGGGCTAGTGGAAAGTGTCCCTGCCCATGGCAGGGGGGGTGGCACTGGATGAGCTTTAATGTCCCTTCCAACTCAAACCATTCTGGGATTCTGTGAACCAGTGGGTTGTTTAGGTAATGCTGTGAGAGCAGGGATGAGTGAGCCATTTGTTTAAATTATTCTTACTTTTCTGTCCCTTTGCAGGGTGCTGTATTCCCGGAGACCACATCTAGTTTGCCCACTCTTCCAGATCCTGTGCCCAATGCTCTGAGACCAGGAGGACCTTTTTTCTCTGCAATGAAGATGGAGGCAGTGGGAAAAGCTGAAGAACTTGCTGATTCAGAAGTTCCACCAAAGGCCTCCGAGAAGCAAGAGACTGCTCCTGATGAAGACCGACCTATAGAGCTTGAGGCGCAAACCCAGAAGGACAGCATGCCCTCTGCAGCTGACTCTGCAGTGCTCTCTTCCATGCCTTGCTTGCTGATGGAACTGCGGCGAGACTCCTCGGAGTCCCAGCTGGCATCCACGGAGAGCGACAAGCCAGCGGGCGGCCGAGTGTATGAGAGTGACTCTTCCAATCACTGCATGCTCTCCCCTTCTTCCAGCGGGCATTTGGCTGACTCGGACACGTTGTCTTCCACGGAAGAGAACGAGCCCTGTCAAACTGAAGCTATTGCAGAGGGAGACCCTTCTGCGGCGTCCGGGTCCGCGGCTGGGAGGAAATCCAGGAGATCCAGGTCCGAGAGCGAAACGTCAATGATGGCTGCCAAGAAAAACCGACAGTCCAGCGACAAGCAGAATGGTCGAGTTACCAAGGCCAAGGGCCACCGGAGCCAAAAGCACAAGGAGAGGATCCGGCTCCTGAGGCAGAAGCGGGAGGCGGCTGCTCGCAAGAAGTACAACCTGCTGCAGGACAGCAGTACCAGCGACAGCGACCTGACCTGCGACTCCAGCACCAGCTCGTCCGACGACGACGAAGAGGTTTCAGGGAGCAGCAAGACAATCACTGCAGAGATACCAGGTAGAGGATGTTTTTTAAACTGAACTGTAAAAAAAAAAAAAAAAAAAACCGCGCCTGACACCGTTTCTCAGCTGTCATGCTATAAGTTAGATGAGTGACGCTTGAGACAACAAAACAAAAAACAAAACAAAACAGGAGAACTGCAGCTCTGTGTAAATTTGAAGACTGCAGTGTGTAAACGAGACGTGGGCAAATTTTAGGATCTGTTCTGAGGTTTTGGTGCACTTTTGCACACCAGGAAAGCATAGTGATGGTAAATGGGAGGAAGGACTACCTTTGAATTCTGGAATTTTCAGATCTTTTTCCTTTGTAAGCCTATATGAACTCCTGTCAGTGCTGTCAAATCCCATTAGATGGCGATAATCTAATTCTTAAGACAAGTGGCCAGCTTTGCTTTAGTGTAAGAAGACCACAGCTTGGCAGTTGTGTTAGAAATGGCACAGCAACTCCTGCCTGTGTTACAGCAAGGCCCTGGCCATTACTGCACTTCTTCTGTGCTTTCAGCTCGACATGTCAGTGCATGACAAGCCTGCTTAGCCTTATTTTAAGTTCTTGCAGGTTGCAGCTGGTCACCTATTTTAGGATATAAACATGATTACACAGGTGCCCAAGCTACATTCACACCTGAATTTTCAGTATCCTAGACAGAGCTGCTACAGTTTTGCTATGTCCTAAGGTTCAGTAATTTCTACACTTTTAGCTTTCTGACACATATGGGTTAAGATGGGAGGTAGCAAATTATAGAGGCCTTCCTGTAATTTTATTAGCAAAAGAAAGTTGAATTCTTCAAGGTTCTTGTTTGCTGAGTCTTTGTTATTTTATTACCTCAAGTGCCGTGGACAGGATTTTATGTGAATTATTCTTGCAGCATATTATACCACAGAACCATCATCATATGGCAATCTTCATATGGCAATCAGAAATAAAATCACATAAAAATAAACCCTTTGGCTTGCCAATTTTTACTGGGTTACATGCCTTTTTGCCTCTTGTGCTAGAAGGTTTTTTTTGGTTTTTTAGTTTGTTTTTGTGTTTTTTTTTTTTTTTTTTGAGAGAAATCTTACAAAGGGCAAGAACATTTAAAGGAAAACTGCAATATTAAGTTGCTGAACTAATGTTTGCTAGATTAATTATTTAAAATATTTGCAGCAGATTTTACAAATGACTGTTTTGACTGAGTTGATTATGGTGGATGATGCTGTCCCCATGAAAACTGGCGTTTTTCCCACACCTGCTAGGAAGCAGGTTGCACAAAGGAAGTAAGTGTTTATTTTTAGAAAGTCTGGGAAAGGCATAATCTCCTCCTATAATTACTGTGTAGTAAACTTTTAATAGAGATCTAAAATTATTTTTACCAATTTAGTACTTAGGCTGCTAGCTTTCATGGTCTTGTACCTTTTTATTCATTATATTTAAACATTGGGCAATTAAAGCCTGATTGAAAGCCTTTTGAAGAAGACTGTTGCATTGAGTTTTGGGATCAGTTCCTCCCCACCTCTCAAAAAAATCCAAACCTCACAGAATAAATCCTTCAGGTCATACACGTTTTTTTAAGTCATAAAAGTACCTCGTGAACCGGAAGGCACCACATGGTATTTTCTGGTTTGCTTGGATTTCTGACTGCCTTTGCAGAGACATGAAACCATTCCAGGGCACTTTTGAGTGTCTCACTGGGCTCTTGGTCTTAACCATGAGGTGCTTGTGGTGCAAAGATCCCATCGCACGGACGGACTTAATTTAGTGGTGATGACACCAGAGCCCAGTTCAACCTGCAGTACGAGGTGTTGCAGCGCACAAACCATCCCAGGGCACACTAACATTTGCTCTCACTCCATGGCATGTGTCATCTGCTTGATGCTAAGCTCCATTTTCGACATGGAAGCCCTTGAGCTGCCCTTTTGGTGCCACCTGGCGCGACGTGAACCCGCCGCGCTGAGGTTTCTCCTTTAAGTAGGAACGGCTTTGGTTTGCGGGAAACAGTTCATGAGTCCAGGAGAAAATTGTTCTCTGTAGAGATGAGGGCAAAGCCTGGCCCTCCAAAAAATGCATTCTGTGCTGCCTGTGGGTTGTAAGAGGTGCAGTGGAGCTGCGAGCCGGAGTCGGACTCGCAGAGCTCCGTCCCAGTGGTGGGTTCACGTGCCATCTGTGACCTCTCCTCCTGGAGCTGGCAAAATACTGAAATCCTTCTTGTGACTAGAAAGCCATTTTAGTGCACTTTAAGCATAACACTGTCCTCAAAATTCAGGGAACGGACATGTAGGTAGAAGATAATTCAGGGTATTAAAAAAGCATTCCCAGAAATTCAGGCCCTGTGTGTCCTCTGCACACAGAGGAAAGCTGAGAGAGAGGTTTCAACTCCAGTGTCAGGACGTGAAGAAACTTTTGCCTTTACTTTTAAAAGAAGTCTGTACACCTTGATGCAGAAGAGTTTTCCAGGTAGCCTCCCTTCCCCTCAGTCTGCCTGCATTTGGGCAGTTCAGCCGCAGTGTTGGTTACTGACTCAACACCACTTTACAGTCGGGGCTCATTTTCGACCATCTGTTGTCTGAAAAATAGCTCTGCCAACAGAGATGCTCTTAAAATTTTTAGTGACAGTTAATGTGGCCTTCATGACAAAGGTTACGCATACTCTGGCTCTTAAATTACCGGCACAGGGAGTGGTACAGCAGCCAGTTTGGTTGTGTGTGGTCTGAGAATTAAGCTGCCACATTTGAGAATACAGTGCTCTTTCATGGCGTGTCACTAAACCTCTTCCATTTAAATAGTGCAGTTACCTTTTTTTGAACCGTCCAACATCACTGGCTCTGAAATACATTTGGCTGAATTTGTAAGGTGAGGGAAACGTGGAGTGAAAATAATGCCATGGAGATGCTAAGGAGAGCATTTGTGCGACAGAGAGTCAGTTCTCTCTGCTGAACTCAACTGTACCGCGGATTAAAATAGTGGCAGGCTTGGTTTCCTGCTCAGGAAAGATTGAGGAGTTGAGATTTTGCTGGTGGTACTTCAGTACAAGTGCTGTGAGCTGCCCAGGAGATAAGCGCAATGTAAGTTGTGTTACTCTGAATGCATCCTGTGGTGTTATTTCACACCTGAAAATACAGGCTCGGTCTAAACTTCATGTGTGCTCATGGGGATTGTTTCGCTGACCTGAGCAGTCGTAAACTTGGGCTCTTCATTTCAGGGAATGCCATGATCTTTGGATTATTGCAGATGAGAAGCAATTTTTTACCTTTTAGGGACTGAGCCTCTCTGTTGGCATTTGGGATTTTACCATTCTTAAACACCGTGCAAAGATGGCATAAAAGTCCCAAATAGGTTCTGCTAGACTTGCTGCTGCTGGAAGTTATTCCTTTAAACAGTCTCACTTTTGATGTTGCAAATTAACTCTGAATGCAGTTGGCATTAGAGCAAGTCTGGGAATTAATATTTATTTCTCTGTAAACACTTCATTCTTGGAAGAAGGAAGGGGTTTTTAAAAATGCAAAAATATTGGCATTCCACCACCATTGTGCTTTCTACAACTCGGAAAAATATGAATTGAAGTGGGGGTGACTCATGTTCCAGGCTTTCAGAAAAATCTGTTAGAAAGTTTGAGTGTTGATGTTGAAAAAATTGCAGCTCACTTTGCTAAAAAAAAACAAAACAAAACCAAACCCAAGAGTTTTTTGGTATTTAGAAACCCAAAGAGGGGGGGGCACACTGTGTCCACGTTTCCTTCCTCCCAAGAACTGTGCACAGACCCTCGAAGAAGCATCTTGCAAGGGATGAATTTGGTTCAAGCAACTCAGAATGACAATTACATTTAAAAGATAGGAAAAAAAAATAGTCTGTTAAAAGTGATTTGCAGTAAGATGTTAATTTTGGAAATCTGTAGCGTAAATGACACAGAGGAGTCAACCATTGCTGGTTAGAATGACGGGGGAAGCATGTCTTAAATTTTTAAGTTGTCGGACTTCCTAAATTAATTAACTTTGGATTTGGTTAATACTTGGTCAGTACCTAATAGATCTCATAAAGAGACAGTGTTGGGGCCTTTCTTAGGTGCTGCTTTGCAGGAGGAATTGCCTTGAAAATAGGATATGAATCTTGGATTCTGACCCCTTTGTGACTGCAAATTTCTTCACCTGTAAATGTGGCATAACGTAAAAAACATATTAGAGAGTTTTAAGTTTATAGACAGAGGAGGGACCAATTAAATAAATGCTAGCATTTTTTTAGAATATAAAAATGCTTTTTTGGCTTAATTTTTTTTTTTTTTAACCCTGAAATAAAGAAAAGATTGAATAAGGCTTGTAATAATAATTGCAACGGAAGCATTTGAAACATTGATGCTACTATAAATTATAGATGCACTATGACTGGTGCCTTTTAAAAATAGTATTGCAGGCTTATATATATTTTAATACATAGTTTCTTCAGTTTACAAAACAATTTTGTCAGTTTTGACCATTCTAGTTCATTCTTAACTTTAAAAACCCCGATAGGTTGTCTCACGTATCACCATCAATAGTTTTTACTTAAATTGTAATAAATTAAATATAAATTAAAACTTAACATTACCTATTAATAAGTCTATGGAAATAAGACTGTCATTTGTTCCTTGATTTTAGGATAAGATCCCTGACTAATGAAAAATAAACTGCATTATATTGGATGTTTGCTACTAGGAGTAATTGAACAGGAGAAAAAAACCATTGAATACACAAAAATAACCAACCCATCTTTTAGGAATAAGGTACCATATTGCATAATTATTTTTACTTAAAATGCTGTTGGAGGGATGTAAATTAGTTGCTATAAAGTAATTATTTTTGAGCAGAGGACCTGAATGCTGAATTTCCAGCCTGTTTGACAGGTAAACAGATGGGGGAGAAAGACTTGAAAATTAGGGGGTTTTGTAACTGCTCAGAAATAAGAAAATAATCCTGGTCTTTCTTTAGCTGTTACTGAAGGACCTGTGTGTACCTCATTTGAATAGCTCCTAAAAAGAATGTGGTGTTTAAGTAATACTGCAATTTCAGGTACACAGTGAAATCCCAGTAAAGATTTAGTGCCTTATGTTTTTATTAGTAAATATTTGCTTAGGCTGTGCAATAATTTCTCTCATTCTTAGGTTATTTTCTATTACTGTTAAAGCGAGAGGATGCCACAAGTTTCACATTTACATATTAAATTGTCGGGTTCTGTGGCTGCTTCGTTGTGCTTAATGTGGTGCTTGTCTTGCTTTGGAATTACCTGAGGTAACGTTTGGTGTGTTTGGACGGCACGCATTTGTTGTTTATGACTCCTCAAACAGGTACAGAGCTCTGTTTTCTTGAAGGTTTTATTTGCTTCCTGGATAATTCCCGAGTGAACTCTTAAGCTTAAAAATACAGATACCACTGCCTTTTGTTACTGATACGAAGAGTGAGGTAATGAGGGTGGCCCTTTTGCCGCTAAACTTCTTCCTGATAATCGCAAAGCGACTAATTTCCCACATCTTTTTGATGGATAGCAGGAGGGAGGACTCCGTTCCAAACATTCCCTGTTTTCTGGGAATGCCGGCGGAGGGCGTGGTCCTAGCTGGAGTGAGGCTGGAGTGAGGACAATCCAGACTGCTGCTGTGTGGATCATCCTTGTGATGGAGCTGTGTCCATCACACCGGGCAGAGGCTGCTCTCACCTCTCGTGTGTTAGCACAGCTCTCACAAATTACCCCATGTTGATGTTGTGTGTTCTCCTCATCCTCACTGGCTGTGCTTTCCGAAACCGGACCAAGAGCTTTGGGCTGCTTGGCTGCTTTGGGTGCTGCAGCCACTATCATGCCAGCCTTTATCTCTGTTATCTCGTGTACAATTTTGTCTGTGTTTAACAGTCCCGTCATAAAAGGGTTCAAGTGTGTAAGTGAAACGCACACAATTAATTATTCAGGTTTATCAGTTGAACAGTAGCACTTTGGATCGCAGCTTGACAGGACTGAACATGTATTAATTTTTTTTTTTTTTTTTTTTTGCTCCTTCACTTGAATTCAAAACAGAAATTGCAAGGGAATTGGAGTAGTTTGGTTTATTTATTGGAAAAAAAAAAAAACCCAGACCTTTGTGACAGAATTGCCTGAGACTTCTAGAATCAAAATAATTTCGAAGCCAAAATTTCTATTATAACCTCAGTGAGTGTAAAACGTTACCTTTTTCTGACCGTTGCTTAATATTTGCTAATTCCTCTCATGTTGTCGTATCCCGGGCGCAGAATTAGCAAAGCTGTTTTCCTGAGTTAACATGCCTTAATAAAACAGTGTTTTGTTCTTACTTAACGATGACTTATCAAATGGCCTCAATGTCTTTAAAGCTGGCTTCAGTCGTGCTGGGGGATCTGGAGAAGCGACCAGGGAAATTCCAGGATTGCTTGACAGGGGCACCGTGTGGGATAGGAACTGCATAGGCAATGTCCTGGAAGAGGCCATGAACTGCTTTGCCGAGATGCAGAGGCAGACAGAGGAGAAATTCCGCATGTGGATAGAAAAGCTAACCCGTCTTGACACGGACGAAGAGAGCAAGCAGCAACTGGAGCCCAGGGAACCTAAAATCCAACTAGTTGGCCAAAGAATCCCCCCTACCACACAGTCAGGGGCTTTCATACAGATGCCTGATAGCCAAGTACTTCCTCAGCAGTCGTTTAATTCTTACGTGGGCTATCAGAATGTGGATGCTACTCTGGAGTTTCCAGCGACTTTTAATAACAATTTTCCACCTGTCTTTCCAGAGAATGGGAATATTGCAGAGCCTGATGTGAATCAATCATAAACTTAAGGGGGGGGGGGGGGCGGAGGGGAAGAAAATCAGATCTTTGCAACCTTGATGTTATTTTTGGATTATGCTGAAAAAATGAGGTTTGCTTTTCTCTTTGTATATGTTTGTTTTGTTTTCTCTTTTGGGTTTTACTGCCATGGTATCGTTTGGTCACTTCTAATTTATAGAGAGTATGTGTAGTTTAAAAAAAAATAAAAAAAAAATCACAGTATGCCCACATGCATGTGCCAGCACACACATATAAACACCTTTAAAGGTGTTGGGGAGGGGAACCACCCTAAGCTTTCGTCACCAGACTTGGGAAAGTATAACTTAGGATCCTTGTTTAGATACCCCAAAAGCAGTAGAGCTATGTTTGCTACAATAGGAGCATTCAGGGTATTCACCCAGATGCCCTTTTTTTGCATGTTAAAACATTTATATAAGGAAATAAGTTTTATATTTAAGGAGGTAAAGTACCTTAGAGACCCAGACTAGATGCAGACCCGTGACATTTCCTTAACTCTGCTTGCTCACAAGTTTTGCAGCTTGAACACGTCACACATCAGTTTTTTCTTCTTCCTTTTTGGGCCGAAGCAGGAAATAAGCTTACCTTAAATATTTAGCTATATATATATATAACAACTGTACACAGTGGATTTTTACTTTTTTTTTTTCTCCCACGTAGTAGTTAATTTTCTGTCCAGAGTTTTTGTTTTTATATCAATGTCACTGCTGTGTTGCACATGGCATGCTTACAGATGCAGCTGTCTTGAACTGTGTGCACAAATAGGCACACGTGTATATATATTTATATTTATATATATATATGTGTGTGTGTGTGTGTGTGTGGTTTGGGTGGAAGTCATCTCCACTAATTCCAGGTGTCCAGTTTGCTGTTCCCTGCCTCTCCTCCTGAGTCAGTGGGAAGAGATAAGCCCCTACTGAGGATATCTCCCAGCAGGGCCTTTCTCTTCCATTAGTTGTCCAGACCTCCCCTTATCAGCAGTTTATAAGAGATAACTCCTGGCTGGACTGAGGTGAGATAAGTCCCACCCAACCTGTGCACACAAAGCACTGCTGCTTCCCTCCTGTATATAAGGACAAACCACATCCTTCATGCTGGAGTAAAAATAGTCCTGTCTGCCCCAAGATAAGCACCAGTCAAGGGGGATGGATTGATTCTTGGCACAGGAATTTGAAGGGAGGCTTGACAGCCAGATAAGTAAACACCATGGTGGTCTGAAGGGCTGCTGGTCTGGGTCAGACTGAACCATGCTTGAATGCCACTGAAATCATTATTTACTTGTGATGGGGAATGCCAGAGCATTAGTTTCATTTAAATAATGCAAGCATTTGCTGTTGTGTGGATTGTTTTTGTTTTGTTTTGTCTTAATATACTAATAGTTATCCTGAATAGGCAGGCTTAAAGCTGTGATGTTTAAAGTAGGATTAATTTAAAGTGTATATTAGAAGTCTCTGTTTAATTCTTACTGTTGTTACACACAGGGATTTTTTTTTTGGTCACCTCTGCATTAAGGCCTTTCTTCATGGGAAGTAACTTCTCTGTAGCTACCAAAAAATGTATATTTATCATCAGGTAGAACTTGATAAAAGTTTTGAATGCAAATGAAAATCGAAATTCTTACAGTGGAAATTGAAGGTGTGCGTAGACATAGTTTAAGTAAAGAGAACCCTGTAGGTCTCCTTTAGCTCTGCTTTTCCCCCCCCCCCTCCCTGAAGTCAGTGGGAGTTTTTCCATCAATTTATGTGTCGGTTTGGATCAAACCCGTAACAGGAACTCAAGAAATGCTTTTTGTTATCAGCATAGTAGTATCGCGGGTGTTTTAATGTTGTTCTTGTCATAGACTTACTTTTTTTGTTTTTAAATATGTGATGCCTTCATTAAAAGAAAATTGGGTTAGAGAGCTGTTGTTATTTTCAGAGTAACAGTTTGAAAGACTATGCAGGAGATAATTTTTAAGTACTGGGATAGAATTCTTTCGAGATCACCTTCATGCATAATTTTTTATACAAAGATTTTGATATGGACTTGTTAGGAAACTCTCTTGTCTGAAATTGTGTGCATTTCAGGTAAAAGTTAAATGAGTTGTTCTGTGCTTGATTGCAGTTTGATCAACTTGTCCTCATCTGTTTAAAATACCAGGTCTTTCAGGGAAGAGTATTTGCTGATATTAAAAAAATCACCAAAACGGATCCTTCTGGTGTTCATAGATTTCCTATCTATCTATCTATATATATTTAAATACCTTTATGATGACAGTAAGAGCAGCATATTTTAAAGCATGACAGCTTTATAAATCTTCCCCTGCATGCAGAAGCAGCTTTTTGCAGTGACTGGTTTCTTTTAATGTGTATGTCTGTAAGCATGCCCTTAACTTTTTTTTGTAAAATAATATATAGAGAGCAATTAGGTATTTCAGAGCAAACTGTGTAAGGAGTTCAGCTGAACTTATCACTTAGACTGAAACAACTTTATATATGAATCTCATAAATGGATAATAAGTTAATTAGGGACATAGCCAGTGAAATTTCTGCCAATCTTCAATGTGTTGGTCAGGTAGTCTTTAAAAAAGAAAAAAAAAAAAAGAAATAATTCAGTGTATTAATAGATAAAAATTTGGATTTGGTTACTGCAGGCAACAAATTAAAACCTTCTATTTTTATCCATCACTGTTAGTTGTTATTTTCAATGCAAGCAGCTGTGAATGAGAAAAACAAGCAGAGGATGACAGAAGTTGAGCATACAGACCTATGAGCTGTACTCTTTCCAGGATAAAATTATTTCAAGGCACCCAGAAGACTGAGAGAATAACTCATATAAGGTGTAATTTTAACTTAGTTTCCCCACAAAAGCTACCTAGTGTTAAAAACACCCGTGGTTGTAAATGGTAAATATTCTTTGGTCACTCTTTCCACTGGGCTCAAAACCGGAGCTGAATCTTCGGCTTTGTCATAAATCACCTCCTTTGAAATGGAAAGTGTTTTGTTGAACGTTCACAGAGCTGGATATCTGCTCCATGAGCCGGGTTTCCATGTGAGGAATTATGTTTTGCCTGGAAACTGAGAGGGGAGCCCCTCCTTTCTCCTGTTCAGGTGTAGCATCACCTACCTGGTGAAGGATTTGGCAGCCTGTGCCGTTAAACAGGAGCATCTCTCTCCTACCTTTGTGTTCTGGATCTGAGATTCAGAAACCAACCTTCAGATTCCAATACTAGTGATGAGTCTCTGTTTTAAGTGTGTGTGGCAGCCTTTGGCATCTCTTTGAGAAAACAGGTTACCAGTATAGAGTTTCAGATATTTCCTTTTTTTCTCCTGGGGATATTTCTACTATAGTACATGGCTGCAGTTAAGTCTGTCGTGATTTCCATTACAAGCTCTTATTTCCAAAGGGCTTCGACTAGAAACTTTCAGGGAGTTAAAATTTCTTCAGCTGAAATTTTGACAAAAAGATTTTAATCTTACCCATTCCGTGTTTCATGAGAGCTGTCTGACTTATCTAAGACTTATTTTAGGATTATCAGAAGGAAACTCTTTTGCTTTCCAACCCAGAGTTGCATTTTGAATGCGTGTTTAAGCTCACGTCTCATCAAATTACTTCAAAACCACCAAATGTGACAAGTAGAGGAAAAATCAGTAGGAGTTTTGCACAGACGTGGAGAACCACAGATGATAACTTAGAATTTCCCTAATTGCCCTGGGTTTTATACTTCAGAGTGGTGTAAAGAAACACCCTAGTTCCTTTAAGGAATTTTACTTATGGTTTGAATGCACTGAGTCAGATCAGCTGGCGTAGACTGGTGTAATTCCAGGGATGATGGGGCCAGTTTAAACCCACCTGGCCTGTTCAGAGAATCATGGAATGGTTTGGGTTGGAAAGGACCTTAAAGCTCATCCAGTTCCACCCTCCTGCCATGGGCAGGGACACCTTCCACTACCCCAGGTTGCTCCAAGCCCCGTCCAACCTGGCCTTGGACACTTCCAGGGATGGGGCAGCCACAGCTTCTCTGGTCCAAGCTCCTGTATTGTAATTTTAAACACTGAATTACGTGTTTTCAGTGTGGGGGCTGTTTCAGCAAGGGAGCAGTGTATGACCTGTATGACCCCAGAGCTGGAATTTAGCAGCAGGTAAAGGAAGTAAGTCTTTATATAGATGCTTGGTTTAAATTCTACTAAATGTCAAACTGACACTTCAGTAAATAAAAATTTAAAGGGTCTCTTCCTAGAATTGTTCCCTTTTTAGGAGTCCTTAGATGTTCAGGGGCTTCAGTGTGCAGTGGTTTTGCAGCCTTGGCTGCAATTTCTTCCCCAGGTGTTCATGCTGCTTCCCTCCCCTCCAGTGGGGTTTGGTATGGAAGGTCTTTAGGAATTTCCACCCTTCACACACTGATTTTTCGGAGGATTTGGGGTTTTGCTTCAGATAAAACATCTGAATGGTCAGGTTTTATTTAGGAAAAAAAAAAAATTAACATACAACATAAACCAAATTCAAGTTAAGGCGGTGAAACTTTTTGCAGCTTTTCTATTGCAAAAATTACTGAGCAGGGAAAAAAAAAAAAAAAAGACAAAGTGTAGAACCTTCAGCGTCGTTTTTTTTCACAGTTTTAGGACAAAATAATTCAGGCAGAAATACACATCTCTATTTTTTTAAGTTCACAGTGTCTTCCAGTGTTTGTGCAAGATTGTTAGGTTATTTTATCTGAGCTGCTAGAGTAGAGACTGGAAAACTAATCTTAACTGCAATAAAACGGGATTACATTTGACAGTTATGTTACAAATTGAAACACATTTATTATCACTGGTTTCTCATGTTAATGTATTTTATCTCTTCCTGTGTCCACATACTGTAAATCTCTTTTTAAAATAGTATTTCAAGGGCATTAAGAAATTAAATCCTAGCCCCGCTGATATTTGTAGAAATTTTCTGCTGGTTTTAATGGGGCTGGCATTTCATCTCATCATTTAAAAAACTGAATTTACTCTGCAGTTTTTTTGGCCAGAGCACCCTTCAGCTGGACCTTAAGGGGAGTCTACGCCCCATGAGGGTGTGTAAATTCAGGCCAGTTGAGTAGATGATTTCAGAGTAATCAGGGTGTGCAGCGTGGCTGCTGCGGCCGCACGCGGGACAGACGCGCTGCGTGGTCTGCCAAAAAGTTCGGGCTGGTTGATAGAGGTGGACAGTTCCCGGCAAAACAGGGAGCTGGAAACGGGTCTTTCTCAGAGATGCTGTTGGTCTCGTGGTGCTGGATCAGGAAAGCGAAGGCACATGGAAAACAGGCTTTGCCGAGCTGGGAGGGATTTCAAGCGGGGGGGTTGTTCTGGACTGCCAAAAAGCTGCGTCGGTCCTTCCAAGGGAAGATGCTCCTTGCAAAAAAATGTGGTGGTTTCAGGAGGGGGTGTGTGTTCGCTGCCCTTTCCTAATTGCAAGTTGTGTTTACACAGGGAGTTATTTATTTGTTTATTTATTTTTACCTGTCCTGGCGTTTTTAAGGGTGGGATGGTTTCCCAAACCCTCCTGAGACACTTTTGCAAGTGAAACTGGGGGGAAGGGATCTGGCTAATATATCTGTTACCATAATTAACGCATTGTTAGGCAGCATCACAGAAAATAGATCCTATATGGGGATATGAAGTGGATGCCACTTCCCAAAGTTTTCAATCCACAGCCATATTCCATGTGCCTTTGCTTGACGCACAATGAAAAATTCTTTACTATCTTTATTTATAATTTGGTAAAAAGAATCCGAGATATTTTCCATCTAGTCATCAAAAAGCCTGAAAGAATCAATGTTGTTCAGCAAGACTTTAATTTTTGAGATCCCTTTTCATGTGATACATTAAAAATTGCACAGTCTGAGAACGGATAATAATTTGATCGTGTTGTTTTGATTTTATTTTATTATCGTGGTTAAAAAAAACCCAAACACAAAAGCTTTACTGTGTGAAATGAAGGAAAATGTGAGGAAAGTGGATTCACTGATAAAGTTCACTTTATAATTTCAGAGAGAATGTTGTTACTCTACTATTGATTTTATTGTATTTACAATGTATTATTTGCTTAACCTTGTAAATTTAGAAATGTAACTACTGTAACCTGGAATAAATAAATAAATATAAACAGCAATGAAATGTTTCATGTTGCTAAACAACATAGAAAAGCAGAGATGATCTGCCCCCATCCCCCTCTGGGAATTGTTTCAGGGTTGAGCTAGTTTGTGCCATTTGAACTTCACATACTTTTGAAATGGCAGCTCTGGGTCATGCTTTAATTAATACCAGGTTTATATTGCTTATCTAGAACAAAAAAAACCTGTCACTTATAGTCTTAATATATCAATACTTTTGGTTTAGATCAGTTACTGATGTGTCTACTGTAAAGCTATTTTGACAAGTCACTTAAATCTTTTAGCTTTTGGCACACAAAATATGATTGTTTCTATTACAGCAATGATCAGCTGATCTTAAAATTTATATGGGTATTAAAGTCCACTCTGTGTTTTGTGTAATCTTGCAGGAAATGAGGGTATCTCTTAAATTAAAGCACCAATTGTAAATGAGGACATTCTTAGGTATGTTATTACCTTAACATGTCTCAGTACTCTCTTTTGTTATATAGAAATAAATGCAATTTAAATTACTGAGATTGAGACCATCAGTGCCCACATTCACAACAAAGTTGTTGAGGTGAGTC